TATCAAAACTGAATAATAAGAATTTAAAATAAGGGAAAAAGTTTACATAGAGCCGAGGCTCTAAACAATCAAATTTGAGCCTACCTAAAATTTTTTACTAGAAGATGTTGTTTTGATGCCCTAATATCTTCAAATTAATCATCTCGACATCAAGATGCATGGACATGAGAAAAAAATGTATTGCAAGTTTTGGAAATTGTGTATTTTGCAACGTATTTTTGGACCGTCAATTTTCAAGATTTTCAAGTTTTCATAGATGTGTCAATTTATACTATTTTTGAAGCTTTAAACTTTATAAATAAATATGAAAATATATTTTAAAGCTATCACAAAGATTTACATTATTGAAACTACATTTCTCGACACTATTTGAAGGTAGGTTTTAATTTAATGGTTTAGAGCCTAGGTTCTATACAAACCGCACCTTTTCAATAATAATAATTGCCTATAATAGATCGAGTGTTTCTAATGCAAAAGTTGAGTTGCCTGGAATTGGTAATACGATTGGTAATACGAAACAACGTGTATTTCAGTTTTGGTAGTACCTGATAGGTCCCGGAAAATTTTCTCATGCAGGTTGTACCGCATTTCTATAATATGAGATCGTATCCATCTTAAAGATTGATGTAAATAGGTGGTCCGTCTAAAAATAATTGTAACCAATTGTTCAAATGTTTTTTTAATATAATGATTATATCTAGTTTTCAATTATTTTTTGTCATATTCATGATCTCCTTGTTAAAGATTATATATTCTCTATAACTTAGGATCAAATTATAATAAAAATATATATTTATTACCAAACCCGCATTTCTACAATATTTAGCTGATCACATAGAAACATTGTCCTAATAGAAATGGCTGAAAACTTGTTGAATTTCCTATTTATTCTGATATTAGAAATACCGGACATATGATAAATTTTGAAGAAAAAAAAATAAGCAAACGGTCAATTACTAAAAATAATAATAGTAATAATAATAATAATAATAATAATAATAATAATAATAATAATAGTAATAATAATAATAATAATAATAATAATAATAATAATAATAATAATAATAAAATTAAGAGAAAAGTTTATATAAGGATGGAACCTTAAAATATAAAAGTACAAATGCACCTCAAAAAACTATGGGAAATGTTGTTTTAATGTTGAAAACCCCTCTATTTGATCATCTGGACATCGAGATGTATGAATATGAAAAAAAAGTTTTTGAGTCTCACAAATAGTGCATCTTGCAACACATTAACTAGGCCGTCAATTTTCAATATTTTCATATGTTTATAGATCTTCTTGATTTTAAATATTTTTGAGGTTTAAAATCTTCTAATTACATATGAAAATAGATTTTAAGATAATCTTAAGAAATTTTTCCAACAAAATTACATATTATGATAAAATTTAGAAGTACGCCTTAAATAGATTGATTAAGGTGGCAACCTTGTAGGAGCCGCACCTTAATAATAATAATAATAAAGAATAATGGCTGCATTAATTGGGGTGGTCAGACCGTGACTTATTCCGTTACAAGCACGTTACCGTGAGGAACACGTCAAAGCCCTGTGACGTCAGATCACTCACAAGTTGCACATGGCCCCATGCACGCGCAATGTAAACTCCTTTCGAGGAGCATTCCGTTGTGTTTTTTTCCAAAAGATATTCTACTATCTTGGGAGTATAGTTACATGGTAGAGATAATTTTTAGACCTCAAGAAGGTAATTTCTAACCCATAAAATAATTTATGCAAAACCAATTTTCGAAATAAATTCTTTATATATTAAAAAAAACTAAAATTTAAGATTGTAAAGAAACTGTCCAAATTTTTTAAAAGCTAGATCTCACAATACTCAAAATTCAATTTTTTTATTAAAAATAATCATTTAGTAATTTTTCAATGATTTCCAAAATTTTGGACTAAAACGTTCCTCTTAATAGGTGTATTGAGATGGGGAGTAAATTAACAATATGCTCCTACCGGAACATAGTACTAGTACTCGTTGGTTTTTGGGTTGGTGAAATAGTTGATTCTACTTAAACCATTGGGCAATGAAAACGGGGGATTGTGGGAAAGAGAATTGACTTCGCCTTCAAAGTTCAAAGTCGTTCAAAAGAAGGCCAATTAAGATACCATTGGCAAACTCGGCCGGTTCAAATCAGAACCCGCGGGTCAAATGGGAATGGTTTTTGATGGTCTGGTCGAGTATTTTAAAAAAAGAATAAAAAATATATAAAATCTCAAGAAATAAGAGATTTGATAGTAAAGTATTTTCTAATGTTTTTTTTTATCATTTTTGGCGAAGATTATTTTTGCATTTTTCCAATTTTGAAAATTTTCAAAAATACCCTTTAGGTATAAATCAATTTTTTAAAATCGATATTATTATTTTTACTGATTTTCAATTTCATTTGAATGTATTTTCAATTTCATTTGAATGTACTTCGTTTAATAATGCCTTAAATATACTTTTTGGTATTTTTAAAATTATTTTTGTACCTTTTTTAAACACTTTTTTGACTATATTGGACTTGCTGGTTGAATGGGCTGGTTTACCGGTTACTCGGAACCAGCCCTTCGCCTGTATTCGATTTTTTGAACACAATTTAAGAGTGCTTGGTTCCCTAAATACTGATACGGAAAGCATTAAATTTGCTTTTGTTTGGCTTCACCCAAAATCTAGATCCAAAGACCCACCAAGTCAAGTCTTGTCCGGATGAACTCATAGAAAGTTTGCCGACACCCCTCTCTCTCTCTATGCATCCGGTGCCGAGTCTGATCTCTATATAAAGCCTCAGCTCCACTGCATTTTATGAGCAGCAAGAAAGAATAAGGTGGAAAAAATAAGAAAGATGGCTGGTTCTTATGCATCTCTTACCTTGTTGGTAGTATGGTTGATTGTGGGGCAGCAAGGCCCCGTCGTCTTTGCACAAGTTGCTTCTCTTATACCAGAGTCTCTGTTTAATAATATGCTTAAGCATATGAAAGATGCTAATTGCCCTGGAGGACGCTTTTATACCTACAACGCTTTCATTACTGCTGCCAATTCGTATCCGGCCTTTGGAACTACCGGCGACACGACTACCCGAAAGAGAGAGATCGCCGCTTTTCTTGCTCAGACCTCAAAGGAGACCACTGGTATGTATATCTCCTCTTCCTCTCTGTCTTCTTGTTGCATTTCGTTTTTCGTCAGTGTTCTTTGTTCTTCAGTTTTGGCGTAAATAAACGCAATTTGGAATGTGTAGGTGGATGGCCAAGCGCACCTGATGGCCCCTACGCTTGGGGCTACTGCTTTGTGAATGAGCAAGGAGGAGGTGATTACTGTACGGCTAGTGCTCAGTGGCCTTGTGCTGCCGGGAAAAAATATTACGGCCGAGGACCCATCCAAATCACACAGTAATCCTCTCGCTCTCTCCATGTATTTTTTACTCAAAATCCAGATGAAATTCTTATAGAAGAATCCCACATCAGATAATGGGATAGGGATATTAATGAGCCCAGTCAATGAAGTCTCAAACTTCATTTTCAAGGTTTAAATAGCCACTAAACGTATTTAAAAAAGATGACTTCTGTCATTGAAGTCTCGAACTTCATTCTCACCGAAAACCGAAAGACAGGGTTTAAATAGCCGCCACTAACGTATTTAAAAAAAGAGAACGTCTGACATCATAAAATAGCTTGGGCACCGACGTGCTTTGAACCTTCCCTTGAAGAGACGATGAAATACGGTTGTCTTTTATGCTGAGAGAGAGAGAGGGCCAGTAGAGAGAGAGGGTTAGTAGAGGGAGATTTAATGGTTAGGGAGTAAGGGAGGGAATGATAGTTTAGTTTACTTTTTGACAGGTAAAAGTAAGAAATAAGAGTGACGGGGTTATGAACATGATATTAAAAGTATTGGGGTAGAATCTCTACTGCAAAATTCATTTTCGAGGTATCCATAAATTGTTCTATTTAATTGAAAATCTTAATTGAAGATCTCTTACCTTTTTACTCAAGTAGCTTCAATAGTAAGCCCTTGTTTCACAGGGTTCTTTCCCACTTGCTTTTTAGTGGTATACATGGGAGATAAAAAGATGTAGTCTTTCCTTTCCAAGGCATCTCCTAGTTTAGAGAAATTTACTTGGGGACCATATTGGGAGCAGGTCAATTATCAGATGGGATTACATTTGTTTCAAATTACAAGCAGCACCCATTTTTTTTAGACAGGTAGGGTTTTTACATTTTAAACGATTCAAGTTACCCCTTATCCGGTAAACCGGGCATATAAGATTTTTACATTTCAAACGATAAACAGAATGCCGAACAATTGTACGGTGTTTGAATTACCGGAAACTTTCTAGACTACAAGAAATCAAAGCCACATATTTGAACCCATAGAAGACCATAAGGAGGTAACAACCGTTTCATAGATCCAAGGTTCATTTTTATTTATTTATTTATTTCTCTACATCCACCATTGAAGAAGTTATTTATTTTTCAAAAATTTAACTATGATGAAGTTTGTTGCCCTGCTCCTCTGCTAAATTCCATAAATGATGAAGCTTGTTATTCTTCTACATCTCTTCAAAATCCACCATTGAAGAGGCGTTGCTGAAATCCACCGTTAACAAAGCTTCGCATCCTGCTACATCTCGCTAAGGAAGCTTCTTTCTTGATTTTCAGGCCTAATCAAATGATCTTGATTTTTTTTTTATCTGATTTTTGGTTAAAAGCAATGCTCTCTCTCTACTTCGTTCTATGGTTACTCTCTCTCTCTTTCTCTCTCTACTTTCACCTTCTCTGGCTTCAGATATGCATCCAACCCAAAACCCCCCTTTCCTCTTACTCGCCTCCACTTTTTCTCCCTTAAATGAGAGAAAGGCCATTTCCTCACGATTCTCAAATTGCAACACCCCCCACCATCTGCGAATATCTCTCTCCACCACTGCCACAACGCTCGCACATTCATATTTCCCCACTTCTGCAACAGATTTTCTTTCTCATCAATGGCGGATTGGGTTTCCTCTTCTCTCTCAGGAATTCTCCGATTGGGTTTTCATGGAGAGGGGTTCTTTTGTGTTTAGGAGTGGCAATGAAAGGTGGGAAAGATGAGGCGAGGATCGGCGGTGATAGAGGTTGCGAGAAAACTAAAAAACTGAGCTGTCTGATAATGGTATTTTAAATAAGAGAGCTCTTAAATTGCTCTGACCTTGGGAGTTGTGGTAGTACCACTTAAGCTTCAGTTAAAAAGTTGACCTCCATTTTTATTAATGGATTTAAAAATGGACTACTTCAAAAAATGAGTGCGTGCTCGTCTTCCCCACACACATAAATAACAATAAAAAAATAAAAATAAAAAATAAAAACTTTGCTATGACCATGGAAACATAACCGATTTAATTTCAACAATATATTAGTTTTAGACTCCCAACCAATCTGTCCCCCTCTTTCTTAGTTGCTTTTATCTTTTCCTAAGTAAAATTTGGCTTAATATGTGTCCATATCTTGTTAACGTCCTTGTGTAGCTTGAATTATGTTTCAGATTTTTCCTAATTCATTTGTAGCATCTTCAATGAAAAGTGTAGCTCGTGCATGGCACAGATCATTAGGTTCACAACTTATGGGTGGTACTGTTCTTCTGTGTGGTGCAGCAACTATAACTACGGGCCAGCAGGGAAAGCAATTGGCTTTGATGGCATCAACAACCCGGACATAGTCGCCACCAATGCTGTCATCTCCTTCAAGACGGCGTTTTGGTTTTGGATGACTCCACAATCGCCCAAGCCCTCTGCCCACGATGTGATCACCGATCGATGGACACCGTCAGCAGCAGACCGCTCGGCCGGCCGGCTCCCTGGCTACGGTGTCATCACCAACATTATCAATGGTGGCTTGGAATGTGGCAGTGGCAGTAATTCCGCAGTGGCTGACCGCATTGGCTTCTACAAGCGTTACTGTGACCTCCTTGGAGTTCCCTATGGAAACAACCTCGACTGCTACAACCAGAAGCCTTTTAATCGCTAGAATAAAGATCAGCTACAACCAGAGGCCTTCCAATAGTTAGAATAAAGATCAGACTTTGCTCACTGTAGTAATGGATCTGCAAGAAATAATAAGGAAATAAAGGCCTTAACTCAGTTAACTCTAATGGTTTATGTCTTGAATTAATGACCAACACCATTACGAAGGATCACACGGCCTATAACCTTCACGGATGATTATCTTGCTGTGTTTCCTTACCATGTTAGAACACAAAACCAAAACAATAGCCTGCATAAAGGAACACCTAAGAGAGAGATTAACTTCATTAGTCCAATAAAAGGGTACAAGTACAGAGTGTTGGAAACCACGACTTGTGGAAGGAACTCGGCCATGGGCTGAGCTGGAGTAGCCGAGTAACTCAAGCCAAGTTCTACTCTGCCCAAGTCGGGCAGGGCAAGGTAAACAATGTTAAAAAAATAAAAAAATACAATAAAAATCCCGAAAATTATGAAAATATATTTAAAATAAAATTATATAAAATACAATTAAATGATAGTTAAAAATTCGTAAAAGAAATGGATTTAAAAAAAAAGAAAAAATGTGACTGGGGTCATTTTAGAAATAATCTTAAAAGACAGACAAATGTATAAATAAGTACTCACGGCCATAATACTTTATAGTTTTTGCCAAAATGATAGAAGACATATATATATATTACTAAATTTTTTTATATCCCCAAGCTCACCAAATTCAAGATACTCAGGCTCGTCCGGTTGGCTCACCAGACTAGTCCAACACCGCAAGTACCTACTTATTCTAACAACTTCCTAAATCTCTCATCTCCACTTTCGTCTACAAGGGACCTACCTGCCTACGTATTTCCAATTATAAAAGGTGATGTACTTACGGTAAGTAAATCTTCTGCTTTAGAAAAATACAAAATACTCCATTTATAAGTGAAAATTACAAAGATAGTAGCTAACCCATTAATTTTTTTAAAAGAAAATTATGCTTCAGCCAACTCAAATTTTGAACTTATTATTATTATTTACTTTTTTTGTCAATAGGCTAGTACCTTGAAGCTTGGGGCACAAGCTTACTAACGAAAAATTTTAAAAAATAAAAACAAAAAGTCAAAATTCGGATTGATCAAGAGGCAATTTTGAAAAAAATAAAAAAAAAACAACGGTTGACCGACCTTTGTAATTTCTGTCTATAAGCGAAGCATTTTGTGTTTTACCTAACCTAAAATTTTAGGGTTTGAATGTAAACCACTCAATTCTATATCATGGCCCCCAACAAGAAATAAGGAAAAAATTATTGGCCCATGTTACCTTACTATCTCAAATCCAAAAACAATATTATCTTACTAGACTAGGTTTAAACCCAAAGGAAAAAATTTATGTAAGTACTAGGCTTTGAACAATCAAATTATAGTGTAACCTCAAAAATTTCACTAGAAAAGGTTGTTTTGATACCCAAATATCCATAAATGAATCATTATGACATCAAGACACATAGGCATAAGAAAAAATAAAAAATTCAAGATTTGAAAATAGTGCATCTTGTAATGCGTTTTTGAATCGTTAATTTTCAAGATTTTCAAGTTTTCATAGATCTACTCGACTACACTATTTTTAAAGCTTTTAATTTTATAATTAGTGATGAAAATATATTATTAAAGCTACTATAAAATTTTTTAATATTGAAAATACAATTCTTGATACTATTTGAGAGTGCGCTTTACTTTGATGGTTTAGAGCTTGGGCTTTATACAAACAGCACCCAAATCCAAATAACGTAAACAATCTAGCCAAAGTTAGTGCTTGAGACCAAATCATCTGTCCTGTCTTTTTGTGTGGCTTTTGCTGCTCGCTCTAACCCGGCCCCTCCACCTGTGCGTGAGGCCGCGATGAGTTTCCACGTTTTAAAACCCAGATCATCGGCGCAGATAAGACTCGGCCCCTTCACCTCTGCGAGAACCGACGATGACTCTCCACATTTTAAAACACAGATAATCAGCGCAGACAAGCCATCTGCTTTGCTTACAAATCCAAATCGGCAGAATCAGGTAATCTGGATTGGCCAAAATCGACGATGCAGCCGAATATCAAGAGTAACCCCAAATGAATGGGATTTCACGTGAAACCCTCATTTTCTTTTCGTATCAGGAGGCATAAGGTTTTTTTAGCTTTCTTTTCATCGAACCCCTTCCATACAAATTTCCCTCACTTCTACATGTTTTTTTCCATCTTATGTCTATTGGAAATTGGAAATTGGTAATCTCATCGATCTCCTAAAATCCCTCTTAGGAGTGATAACTGGCCGGGTACAGGCTGGCTTTAGCTGGACGTAGACCCGGATTTGAATAGTTTTTGGGTTTAAGTTTTGAACCATAACCCGTCGGGTCTAAAAATTGGATCTATACCCGTACCCATCGGGTCCCGAGGTCTACTTGTCGGATCCCAGGTCTGGTCCATTGCCACCCTATGATTATGAGCATTTTTTTTTTCCCCTTTTTTTACCATCTTATACCCATATTATTGGTAACCAAGGTCACAATCACTTGCCATCAGATTTTAAGCCATCTAATTTTTCATTTACTAGTGAAAAATAAATACGAGTTCTTATTGTATAGGATCCATAATACACAAAAGAATAAGGTTTAAAGTAAAGTGTTTTTATCTACAAAGCGGTTTACGGGTACAGATCAGACTGGAACCGGACCCGAATAGTCCAGATTTTAGACGGGGACCCGACCCATTGGGTCCAAAAATTGAACCTATCTCCGGACTCTAGGTTGGGTCTACCCATGGGTCCCAAGTCTAG